GGCTCTATTTCATCATGACTTCTTATTGGAAATAATTCAAATACTGACAGACTCTATCAAAATTCAATCAAGCTTCATAGTTCATTCATTTCACCTATAAATAAAGATTCCAAAAATGAAATCCATTTATTTGATCACCTTTGGAATCATCCATCCAACAACCACCTTTATTTGCCAGATTTTGAAATGTAAACTCAAATGTTCTTGATGTGTTTTTCACACTCTTTTTGCTACTGAAAAGGGGTGTGTCCTCCCAAGCTCTCTCATCACCTGACAGATCACATGACCTTGTTGCTCCTGATCAGACTGGATAAACACCATCTGGTTATACTTGGCACTGACTCCAGACCAGACTCACTTGATGGCAGAAACATAACCCTAACCTTCCATACATAGAATGGCCTTGCTAATTTAATGCTTCCATATTTAAAGGGACACCTTGTAAACCAGAAAAAACAGCTCAAAGTAACCGAGAAATATGCCTCTCTGGCATTCAAATGAAGAGAAAAGGATGATCTATCAACATCCTATTCATCATATCTTAGTATCTTAGGTTTTTCAGACAAAATCTCTGTGTTTGACTTCCGGTATAAGAAAAAGAAAAAAAGTGTATATAATCGCCATGAATCACTGTTACCCTTTAATACCCAACATTATAATACCAGTATAATTTCCCAACCACTTTAATAGCCTTATATTGACCATTTAAAACCATCTTACCATAAACTTACACATTTAAAAGCTTTCCTTTTGCAATAAACAAATGGGACATATTTTGTTTCTGGACACTAAATTCTCTCCACCCAAATCATAAGTACAATGTCATTGACATAAAACTAAATTGGGAATTTTATGACATCATAAAAGAAATTGCTGACCCACTAAAATGCTATCCATTTCCATGCCCCATTTAGCTATTACAGATGTGATTTATTCCATAAACCTATACCAGTACATCACAGGGCCATTAAACAAACGGATCAAGTCATCTATCCCTGCCGTTTGCACTGGAAATCCTGTATCCTATTTTATAAGGCACTTTTTTGTAGGATATCGGCTTCATAGAATTCCTGTGGTTTTAATATATTCATATCTTTCAGGTGGTTTTAGTTTGAACAATATGATCTCTAATATGGAACATCCGCACAAAAATGAGCAGCTGTACACCCAAATTATCCAATTCACAAGAACATTTTCTAAAAAGGGTATATTCTTAAACATAACCATATTGAAAACAAGGCTCTACCATATGCCTCTGTATGTTAAATGTCACCACAGGCCACTGATCATGCATACCTTTTACATCTTTTCTGATGAAATAGATCTATGTCAAGGATAACTAAACAAAAACATATGACAATTAGCTAATGACAACTATCCTGATTCCTGTTATAAACAAGCTAAATGGACCGTGATTTCCAACCTTCCTGTGGCTGTAAGCTACACTAATACATTTCCTACTGAATCAGTATTCAGTAAATTTACATTGTATATAATAGTATACCGGTATATGAAATATGTGTACACCAAAATTTGAGTTTTTAAACTCACTGATTAAAATTAGTACTGTCACATGTAGGGTTCAACATATTCCAGATTTTTTAGTTTTCATCACCCCTATTTAATAGTAAGCTTCTTTAATATCTGGCAAATCCGACTCATTTTTAACTTTAAGACAAGGGTAAGGAAAATGGACAGAACAATAAGTTGTGTTTTAATATTTTAATTTTTTATTTTAGACAAAATAAGTGGGAAGATCTTTCACTTAGAAGGTCTGTTTTGAAAGACTATAATGACTTGAAAAGAATTCTATAGACTTTCAACTTTGTTTATTTTTTCTTTCAACTCATATAAACTGTGAAAGATTCCAGAAAATGTGTGCATTTGTTTATTTTAGTATGAATGTACTTTAAAAAGTTCCTTTGGTACATGTACCTTTCAGAATACTTCATTACCATTTCATCAGGTAAAAAAGTAATTATAGACATTGAAATTTTAAAAACTTTTTCACTTTCGTCTTTTGTCATCATTTTCAAAAGAGATTATTTTCTAAATAATATCTGATAGGGCGACAGTGATAGTATTATTACTATAACAATGAATCAAAATCTTGAGCAAATCTCAATTGGAACAAACCAACATAACAATTCCATATTTGCTGAAATATATATATATAACCATATTGTAGTACTACATCATTTGAAATCTAACTCCAGACTCTTATTCAATTCTAAGACAGCCATATGACTCATCTGGTTCATGAATCTCATATTCATTTCCATTTTTATTCATTCCTTTTCTCCTACGAATTAAATGTTGAGGAATACAAATTTGCATTGCTAATGCAATCAACATGAGCCAAACAGTAGCTCGATGCACGTACATATGTAGCTGTTCTTATGAAGAACATGATGTCTAATACATGTTAGGCCCTGTTGTCATCATTTCAATTTATGGCTCTTCGTAGGTGCTAATCCCCTAGCAGTAGTCATACGAACACGTCACTGCACTTACGTGTGAACAACACGGACGAGTAGTCGACACATAGTTATAATGAGATTCCCTGAGATGTAGACCAACTCTAGATAACGCATGCACACGTGGAGGGATGCATGCATGGTCGAGGGAAGCACGGTCATACCCATCGATGAGTCATGGTTATTCTGTCAAGCTTTTAAAAGCCCTCCATTAAAGGTAGATATCATTACGAAGGCGGATCATTAAAATATAATTCAATTTTCTATCTACAGTGTATGTATTAGAATACAGACAGAAATGCACAGTGATTAAGGAGTTGACAATTAAATATTGATGTCATTTGGAAGGTGAATCATACAAATATAATATGATTTTCTGTGTACATATATTATTATTTAGACAAAAGAAGTTTAGAAGTTGACGAGTAAATGTAGATATCATAGGCTCATAGCGAAGGAGAAAAACAAAATTTAACGTTGATGCATCTATTAAACACAATACAGAAATGCATTTATGTGTACTAAAGCATGGTTTTAGAATGGCCTGTAATATATACCCTTTAATGGTGTCATTATCAGCAGGATATCATTTGGATGGTAGAACATAATGTAGCTATAATTTCATTTCAAACATCAAAGAATAAAGAAATGAACTGTGAAATTGAAAAGTGAAGTTTAAGAGGTCATCAGCGGGAGGTCGTTATGTAGATTAGCTTTGGGGAGGTGGTAACATTTGGTTTGGAGGTAAACCATCAAAATATGATTACATTTCCAATACACCCAGAATACAGAAGAGCATTGGGTGATGGAAAAATGAAATTTGATAAGCAATCACCAGTGAGTCATACTATGGTCTGGTTTTGTGGTTTCTATAAAATTCAGAATAATTTATGGTAACAAGGGTAGGATTGTATTTAATATTGATGTGTGGTGCGCAAACTGGTGTTATTTTGCACTCAAATGCAACTGTGGGAAAAGAGCAAATACTTTCATGTGTGTACAGCTAGAAATTAGTCATGGACATTTTTTCACACATTACCTCAGACGTCCTAAAGAGCAGATTAGTAGGTCACAGGAGTACAGATTATCCAGAATAAATGACTTTCATGAAAGTTGTATTTACCCTTGCATTTTTTTTTTTGGGGGGGGAGGGGTACACTGGGGTTCACTTTTTTTTTTGTTTTGTTGGGGGGGGTCCCTTATACACTGTTGCCCATAAAATTTGAATAATTTTGTTCTAAACTCTATTCATGAAATGATTCATGAAATAATCCATCTCTTTGACTCTTTGATAGATTAATCAATAGAATAAAAGTATTGTTTTTACGCAATCTATCATTACAAACTTGTATCAATTCTTAAATTTGAAAAATACCTTAAATTATTAAGTCAGCTGTTCCATCATATTAAAGTCTGTACAAATTCTCAAATGCATGTTACAGCTTCAATAAGCAATAATCAACTTCTTACTCTTTAATAATGGGAGAGAATTTGAAACCTTCTGCTGAATCTGGGAAAAAGAGAACATCATCTAGACTTGGACTCTCTTTTTTGTCTTGAAAATGTAAGAATCCTAACACTGAAGAAACTATACCCACAGATCCCTCCAACTTAAAAACAATAACTTCTGTTACTCAATGCTCCATCAAAGCACTCCTACTCCTCATAAAAGAGGAATCAAACTTTAAACCATTCCAAGCCAGGATGTTCATCATCTTCCTCCCGCAAAATTGGAAGATGGAACATGGGATGTTTTCAGCTTGTCTTTGGTATAAACCCATTTTTATTGGTTCTGCAGTGGACTCGTGAGATGGCTTCGGGGGCTCCTGAGTGGAAATGATTGACTGATTGGATTGTGGGATATTATGCGGCATGCTGGGAAGTATAGTTTCGTCGCCCCCTCCGGCTACGGGATTTGCCCCCGTATTGGATTACTTCTCCGATACAATCGTCACTATGGCGGTGCACTTTCAGATGATTTCTGCAAACGCTCCCGCGGAGAACTTGAATCACAAGCTTTTCCTGCATATGGCTACTCCGGGCTTACAAATGAAGGGAGAATGGACTTCTTTATGTGGTAATATTCGATACAAGCTTGTCCATTGGGCCACTGTGCGCGATCAATGAACATACACTTGTAACCTGATTTTACCCCGCTCAAGGCTGTAATTGTAGAATGGCATTATCAACACAGCCGCATTACCCATTTTGTATTTCCTTCCCTATACATGCACTGTCAAGGTATTTCTCTGAGTCATTATCAAAACAAACCTTTTTTTTACCAGGTCTTTACCAGGCTTGCTTAGAACATTCACAATTTCTCTGAAAAAATCAACAATTCCCTCCAGAACTGAAATAGTGTGAAGCCCAAGCACAAGCTCTTCAATGTGATAAAATGTAATTCATTGAGTGTTCATTCAAAGATTGCGAATTCAGAGTTAGAAGGGTATTAACTTGTATTATTTTACAAAGATTTAACACCCTTCTGGCTCTTAACAGATGGGAATTGAGATATAATCTTACCCTTTTCTTGCTGCAGTAGATTTGCCATTTCTTCTCGGGTGACAGGCTGAACATGGTTTCTCTGTGGCTCGCTCCAAGATCCAACTCAGCCTGGAGATGCAACATGAAAGACAGGGGGGGGGGGGGGGGGACAGGGATAGAGAGTAGGAGACGGACATAGAGATGGAGTAGAGATAGGAGAGAGAGAAAGAGTGTGAGGGGGGAGATATGGATGGAGATAAAAAGGAACAAATTAAATGAGAGAAAAGTGAGATAAATTACTGGTTTAAGATAAACTTGAGTTCTGGTATAAAAAGAAAATGAATTCTCACAGAATCTAACGAAACTTACACTGAATGTTCAAGATTACAAATAAATGTCATGTGCCAAACAATTTTGGAAGAAAATGTATACTGGCTGAGTAATGAGCATAGAAAGATAAGGAAATCAGGGTAGTACTAGCCCCGACACCATGTTGTCCCCATATACATCTTTCTGTGTAAGTGATTGTTACTTTACCAAGACTCTGCCAAATTTATGATGATTTTGATGACTCCAGAACCTTGCATTACACACCATTACTGACATGCTATATGATCAACTTTTCTGATCCATTCCACACCTTTTCTTTCACAATGCAATCGCATTACCAGAACTCAAAGTTTATCTTTAAATACAGCTAATTAATGAATGACCCCTACAGGCTACAGCCATTGTCTTGGCTATTATTACTGTAAACCTGGGAATGTAAACTACATACAGGGCTTGTCACTAGGAGGTGCCTACTATACATGCCCCCCCCCCAACATTGTTTCTTTAAAGGTAAAGACCAGTTATGGTCATGCGATTGCACTGTGAAAGAAACGTTGTGGAATCGATCAGAAAAGGTTGATCATCTAGCATCTAGCATCTGCAAGGTTCTGGAATCATCAAAATGATAAGAAATTTGGCCCATTCTTCGTAAAGTTACAGCTATACACAGAAAGATGTATGTGGGACTACCCTATATCTCTCACAGACCATGAGAGAAACAAATTTACCAAATATATGAATTAGTAGGCGGTTTCCCGGCAAATTTTTTATCATCATGTATTAGTCAAAACATATTCTTTCACATGATTGGTAATGAGAGCTTCCATTTCATTTTTTGAAATTGGGGCGTTTCCAATACTGGTCTTTACCTTTAAAACAAACATAGAAATAATGGAAGGTGGTCCCGATTGAACATGTTATTGTCTTTATGCATGAGCCCTGATAAAAATATCAGAAGTTTGGGGTCCATATTTAAATGTGGGCACCCATATGTCCCAGGCCGGCGGGCCCCGCTGTTAACTCATACCATTTATTCTAAACATGGTGTTCAATGCCCTTCTGTTCTTTACAGACACAGGCCGGAACAGAAGGGTATATACCAGGTAAAATTGATATTTTCTCCTAATGGCTTTGACCTTGACTTGTCACCATACCACATCCTAGATAGGTGAGGGAGAGGAAGGAAGCCCATACGGATATGTGATCTGGTAACTGGTTTGACAAGGTTTGGTCTTGAGTTTGACAGATCCATGATTTGATCAACCAAATGCCTCCATACTTCAAACTTTGAATAAAGCTTTAGTTTCATGGACATTAAGGACATACAGAATTTAGGAGAAACAGTAAATCAAGGCCTAACAAGAATTTTTTTCAAACTTCCAAATTGTCATTGTAGGTAGGCTTTTTATGCAATTGAAATGCACCATCGTTTTCCTTGACATTCAATAAAATAACAATAAGATAACAAATGTTGAACTTCTACAACAAATTTTCTCTCAGCCAATCAAATGTCATGATTTTTAGGTGGAGAGGGTTGGCAATAATCTATGGTTCAGTAATATATGACAACAGCATCTTGTATCATATCAATTGTGCGTTAGATAGAGAAAGATAATGTAATACCCCATTCAAATAAATCTTCTACATCATGAATATGGAAACAGGTTAAAGTCAGTGGTCACTCACATGGACCATCATGTACTTTGCGATGTACTTTAATTGACAGGATGACAGTTTTCTTGATTACATAACAGCCCATGATTTCAAATCTCTGCCTGTTATGTAACCAGTAAAGTGCAAGATCATGGGTGCATTCTTTCCCCATGATGTAGAACCTTGCACTATTGGTTTACTGCTTGATGAAAAATATTTTGAAAAAACAAAAAACAAGTAACAACTGTCAAATGGATACTGCAGTTTATACTGCAATAAATCATACCATATATTTATTACTAGAAATTGGTTTCATTGAGCGAAGATCCAGATTATGTGTAATATACCAGTTCATCTATAAATCTATTTGCTAGCATATTTTCAAATCATTCACAATGTTTGTTTCAAAAAAATTTAATACTATACTTTGACAAAATAAAATGAGTAATGACTGTAACTTATATCATACAGCCCATTTTATTACTTGAAATTAGTTTCATGGAGCAATGAAGTCAAAGTAAAGTGTAAATTCCAGATTCTCAGGTATAACAGTTCATCTATTAATTAATTTGCTAGCATTGATTCTAATCATATACTGTGCATGTACAATGTTCATGAGATTTTTCTTTTAAATACAAAAACAAATTTGTAGACAATAAATGATCTAATTCAAAGGCTGAATTTGTCTAGGAAAACAAAAATAATTCTCCATTTTTTTAATTCGAAAGTGGAATAAATTTCCCGAAGCCCAAACACTAAATGAAATAATGTGACAGTAAAAGTCATGTTTTGCATTTAATTCAAGTTCAAAGATAAACAATTCTCTAAATCATTCAATGATTAAAGAAAAAGTCTGGACTGGAGTAATGAGACAATGATAAATTATTCTTCTCCCAACACACATTCACAAAATGTGACAGACGGGATTGTTTATGATTTTTTCAGGCATGCAGAATTCATCCACACTTTCAACATTTGCAGGGCCGGTGATTCGGGGCTGGTCTCCTTGCCTAATATGGTAATGGAAAAAATCTTCAAAACAAAGGGTCTACTGTTTGTATTGTAAAGAAACATCCAAATGATTTTAAATAAATGTAACCTAGCTATTACAAATTTGTATAAAAATAAGAAATGTGCTATGTACATGTACGTACTAGATGTATTTTACTGGAATTCATTTAGTTGTTAATTTATAAACAATCCCCAAATATGCATCCATTCTTAAAATGGGCTGACCAAATTGAGTGAAGTGATTCCCTGATTGTTGCTCTAATTAAGATGGTTAATCAGAAAATATTCAATATTTTGTATATCCGTCAAGTCACTATACATGTACATTTTGGCATACAGAGAATCGGTTTAATAATTCACTCTAATCACATGAATTTTGCTTCCCAAAGTTCATTAGTACCTCTTGAAAACACCAATCAAGTTGACTTTCTCCCTCATAATTAATTACCCTTTTAATAATAGCTCCAATGCTAATTAACTATTATCAAGCATCTCCTCGTGAATTCTCTACTCAAAATTGATTGATTTGGATGTGAAGGGGACCACAATGCCTGTAATATGACAAGACCTTACAAGAATACAATGATGCAGGCTCGCACGTACATATTTATATGCGTGAGTTCTAAATTCTGGCTTCCTCCCAGTCATATTTATACATTGTATGACCTTGGCTTTTTGATAACCTTCACTTGAAAAAGTTACAAAACTAGGTGATACAGAGCAAGCATGTGCAGTTTTGGCACCAGAAATAGTTGGCTTTGGATATTTTTATTACGACATACAACCTGTAGTGGCCTTTTCCCCCTAATCCTCATAAATTGTCATTAGTCACAGGAAGATAATTTCATTTCTTAATGAACATGTCCGAATGGAAAGTATCGGCATTCAAGGTATCATTTGGTAATTGCATGTAGGCCAACAAAATAATATTGATAATCTGGATTTATACCATTTTTCCTTAATGTCTTTAATAGCCGCTTCACAGATTGCCCTGAAAATTGTTTCTATGCCCAAACAATATGTGCAACATCTTCTCTACCTGAGCTTTATTCCTACCACATACCAAGTAGTCTATATACATGCACAATGTAGATCACAAGTACATGAAGGCTTAACTTTTGATGTTCTCAAAATCTTGTAACATCTGTTGGGTTGCTTATTCCTACAATTTGTGTATGACGTGGAAATAAAGAAATTTTCTTTGCCCAAAGCTGAGAAGTGCTGTTAAAAGTCAAATCAAGTAAAAGGTCACACAACTCGTGAAACTTATTGGAAGTTTTGGAATCTGGAATGAACTATCAATTTCTAGGACGTCTGGCCCAGAACGGTTTATTTTGAGCCCGATATTTATAGGTTTTAATTTGAGAAGGAAGACACGTCTGAACGGTAAACAGTCTTGACAAGCTCAGGGTAAAAATAAGCGTGACTCTGACTCTGGACGTTTTCCACAGAGACCTGCTCATGTGTCTTTGTAAAGATGACTTCAATAGTTAAATAGTATTATTGTCGATTTATAACAAACAAATACACATCAAAATGCATGATTCCCATGTAATTATTCTTACTTTTGTATTAAAATATTTTTTACAAGGTCTACAGTTTGGTCACAAAATCATCATTTTCTTGTGTGGTATCATGTACTGCATGTACTGTACATGTATGCACACAATTGATTGGCAACAATGACTGCACTATCAAAAACTTCTTGAAAACTATTTTCGAAACATTTTTCAACAACCCTAAGGTCACATGACGTCTTTTCGTATTCCCTACCTTAAGCAGAAATGGTTTCATAGAATTACAAGTTCCTAAACAATTTTAAAAACTACTCCGTACTTTATGTAGATTTCGAAATAAGGCAATGTGGGGTATTCCTTCCAGGGACTGCCTGTTAATTAATCAATTCTAAATATGACTAAAGTGCAAGTAGTTTTTCCAACTATAGTCAAACCTGTCTTAGTGGCCACCTCTCCTTAAAGGCCACCTGTCAAAAGTGTCCACTTTTTTTGTTCCCCTTGGGTGGCCTTAATAAACAGGTTTGAATACATACATTTACAGTAAAACCTGTCTACAGCAACCGCCCAAGGGAAACACAGAAAGTGGTCTTTGTAGACAGGTTCCTTTAGTACATGTTTCAATGAGAAACAATTTTCAAGGGAAACAAAAAATGTGCTTGTTGTAGACAGGTGGTCTTTGTTGACTGGTGGTCACTGAGGCTGGTTTGACTGTATTTTGTAAATAAGAGATGAAAGCTGTTTGTTCTTACCACAAGTTCCTCAAACTTGGCGTTGAGTTCGTCGAGGGGAGGCATAGGATCCTCCTCCTTGATCGTGTGGAGGACCATGTTGTTGTCCACCACGATCTCGGGCGTGTCATCCCCACCGCCGAGGCAGCAGAACACGCTCCGCCTCTTGGCGGGCATCTTGGTAGCGTGGCGCGTCGTCCCACCTTACCCTACCCTTTAGCTGTCACATGTAGTCCTTGGGTGAATGGAGAGACCTGTAAGGATGAAGTGAAAACAAAAAAAGGAACCATTGTTACTTGGTGGTTGAGAGGAAAGGACTGTTGTCCAACAATTTTGAAACTTGTAGGCTTCCTTGTAATTTATACCAGAAACAGAACATTTTGCAAATTTCTTTGAGCGATCCAGATTTCTTCCAAAAGTTTCAAACCACCAAATAATAAAAAATCACAACACTAGAATTTTGTAATTTTCCCAAAGTTTTTTGCCACTGTTGCAGTCATGAATAGTTTGCAAAAGTTTCTGGTTTACAATGAACAGATAAATAGGAAGAGGTCAAGAAGAAGTACTGTAATAATTGACAGTATTCAAGTAAGATCAAAGAGTGCAGATCGTATCCCTTGTGTTTAACAGGGACACTTATTTTGACCAAATAAACGAATCTTCCTTTCTCTAGAGGGCATTCAAAAGGAGAAAGAAAACAACGACAGCTTTGTATTACCCATTCAATATGCTCCATTTACTGCCCACTGCTCAGCAATTTTGCTACACAAACAAATCATTTGTAAGGAGAAATCTTTCAATACATAAAAGCAGAAGGATCATCTATCTTGAATGATATATTCTCATCTTGATCATAAACAGATGGTCACAACCATTCCCAGGAAGATACTGCCTCCTTTGACTGTCACAAATATCTCTTTCTTCCCACACAAGGGGAATCAATACACGAGCTAGATCAAAAAATTGGCTTTTCCCCTGCATACAGCAAAATTGCAAATTATTTACGTATGATATTTCAAACCTACTTTCATTCTTTTCCACCCACAAAAATGATCCAATTTAATCTAGCTTCCTCAATCCGCAGGCAAAACCAGATATGCCTTGGGGATAATGAGGCTAGGTGTTTGCTGACATGATCATAAGTTGGTGAATTATTGGAAGCCTGATAACATGAATATTGTGCCAATTATGGCCCTCTCAGACAAAACTTTCTGAAGTATTATGAATCAGGGAACTAATAGGAGTGAAACTTCATAAGGCTTCCATTCATTTTGTCTGCAATTGCCGCCAATTTAAAGGACAGTTTGCAAGATCAAGGGGGGAGGTAGATGATTATACAGTGTGTTCACAAATCTTTCATTATTATGCTCTAGCTGTCTGCTTCACATAAGTTCAATTATAAATCTTTAAAGGTAAAGACCAGTTATGGTCATGCGATTGCATTGTGAAAGAAACGTTGTGGAATCGATCAGAAAAGGTTGATCATCTAGCATCTAGCATCTGCAAGGTTCTAGAATCATCAAAATGATAAGAAATTTGGCCCATTCTTCGTAAAGTTACAAGCACTATACACAGAAAGATGTATATGGGACTACCCTATATCTCTCACAGACCATGAGAGAAACAAATTTACCAAATATATGAATTAGTAGGCGGTTTCCCGGCAAATTTTTTATTATCATGTATTAGTCAAAACATATTCTTTCACATGATTGGTAATGAGAGCTTCCATTTCATTTTTTGAAATTGGGGCGTTTCCAATACTGGTCTTTACCTTTAACTGGTGATCACTATTGCAAATATCAATATGATAACACTAATCATGGTAATATCATGATCAATATAATATTGATACATACATTTGTAGGTCTGCAGAAATGCAAAGGCTATTACTGCAGCCTGAAAAGTTATAGAAATAAGATTATTCCGGGTGAAAAAATGAAAAACAGGTTGCAGCTCAAGAAGACAGAGAGCATCAGCTCTCATTCTGTTTGTGAAAGGATTTTTGTTGTGATTCCCTCTGTAGAAAATAACCCAACACTCACTCTTTAGAAACAAAAAGTTATGACGTCCACACCACTAAATGAGCACAATGATATGTTTGTTCCAATTCAATGAGGAACGAAAGGCCATCTTTATTTCCATCTTCTCAATCACTACTGGTTCCTGTAATTATTACTCCCTAGTCTGGAATTAACTTCAGAATTGTGAACAAATCATGATTTTGGAATGAAAAATATGAAAGAGAAGTTCAAAAGTTCCTCACAATATGGACCAATCTGTATATTACATCAGTAAGTCACATGAAACTAACATGAAACTCACATATATACCATCCTACTCTCATTAGCACTGTCAAAACATCTGCTGCTTTTGAGCATCCACTTCTATAAATAATTTCAATTCAACCCTAGCTCAAGTAGGTGAGCTCTATTTCATTTTTTAGCATAATATTCCAAGGGTTCATGTTTTCAAAGGATATTGCCCAATAATTCTTACGTCAATATTTTGATATCTTTCAGATGCCTCCTCCTATTGGGGATAAACACAAGCCCCGACGTGTCAAAACAAGGACCCTATTCACACCACAAAAATATGCAAGTGCTTTCACAAGGAGCGATTCGCATCAACAAGAATGCAAGACAATAATAGCAGCTGCAGTCGGCATGTACATGTACAATAAAATATACATTGTCATACAAACAATTGGTTTTATATACTTTCATCTTCACAGTGCTCCTGGAAATAAGTGAACTGCCCTGAGGACTACTTTTAAAGATGTACAGAAGGGGAAAAAAGGTTTCCTGATGTAGTGTCTACACACTCTGTGAGGGTGCTAATGTTATTGGAAATCCAGGTAAAATGACTCTGTAGCTCAATTCCTACAGGCAATTGCATATTGGTCTAGAAAATGGCATTTACAGTTTTAAAAGCCTATACCACATTACTTTTGTATCACACATTATTTTTTTGTTAATCTGACAACATGGCCTATTCATTTATGGGCAATGCAGTTTACACCAGTGGTGCATTAACCACCACGGTACAAGTCCATGTTTTGCAAATGTGAATGCGGCTGCTAATCAATCCCTTGCTTTCGTATCCTATCAGGCTCTCACTCCATCAGATTTTCATATTCACTACTCATGGTTTACGGCACACTAAATTTAGCAGTTCACCACTTTAAAATAGTAAGAGCCCTTATTTTTCAAATATGAACAGGGCCGCAAATCAATCCCTAATTGCTTTCATACCCTACCAGGCTCACACTCTATCAGATTTTCATATTCACTATTCCTGGTTTTATAGCATGCTAAATTTAGCTGTTCACGACTTTAAAATAGTAAGAGCCTTAATATCTTTAAAATATGAACTGGGCCGCAAATCAATCCCTTGCTTTCGTACCCTATCATGCTCACACTCCATCAGGTTTTCATATTCACTATTCCTGGTTTACAGCATGCTAAATTTAGCGTTCCACAACAGGATGAAAGATAAACAAACCAAAATGGGAGATAGATGGAGAGGATATTGAAAATCAAAATGATCCCGATACAGATATAGAATTTCTTGGATCGAGTTTGATGTCATACAGATCTTCCAACATGCACAGTAATAAGATGACATGTTTTATTGTCCATCTCTACAATGGTCACCATCTGTCAATAAAGAAAAAAATAGTTTACATTTCCTCAGAAAACAAAAATTGATCCATTTCTTCTTTAATGTGTTCTCATATGAATTTGGGCAACATGATTTGATCTTTGTACTGTGAATGTTAAAAAAACCATCTACTGGTATATTATGTTTTATGCAAGTAATTTTATAACATATTATAAGCTGTTGAAAGGAACACAAAAACTGATAAGAATTGTCGTTTTATTCTTGCTGCTTCAGACCAAACATCATAGGCCCTATATTTGAAAGAAACCACACAGAAAATGAATCATTATCTGTTTTGATTCGCACCTAAACATCATCTTGATGTGGGTCGAAAATAATGGCTACAAGCCAATTTTGCCTGCCAACAGGAGAGCCAGAATTGAATTCACTCTGTGCAAAAATGGCATTCATCAGATGATTACAAAAGCACCAATCATGTAATTGTGGTTGTGGTAGGACTACATCATAATTTCTGATAATTCTGGATGATGTACATGTACTAGGTCTAATATCAGCTGTCATCATCACCCAAAGAGCTTAGATATTGATCCATCAATTGAATGAAAACACAACACACAACATGTTTGGTTTGCCCTCGCACCTGCTGGTTTCAAAATTGAGATACAAAGCGTTTCATTTGAAAACACTCAAGGCTGCTCCGACAGGGGACTCTGGAATATCAACGATTATGAACCATTGATTGAAAAACCGCAGGAGATTATGGTATTGTCATCAAAGGTATATTAGTACAAGCTTTTGTTGTTATCATTATCATTACTGCAATGGTTGTGTTCATAATTTTGAATGTTAGATGTTCATTAATCATTCATTGGCTGATCTGACAGCGTATTTGAGTTGTACTTGCATATGGGATTGTATTTTAATACATGTAGAATGTGTTGTCTGCTGTGGGCAAGAGGGGTAATAACTAAGATACTTATTCCCTTGGGGCTGCTAGTATAGAAAAACACAAAAGGAAGGCATTCCAAATGTCAAGCCACTGGCAGGGGTTATTTCAAAGACTTTTCCAAACATAACTATTCCTCAATCTAAGGTCTTCTTCTATAAATCTCAAATAAAAGATCTCCAAATCATTGCAGAGCAATTTGTTGGCTGTCTGCAAAATGGCCATAATAGCTACAGTATGTAGGGCCTATTTTCAATAGCAGTTACAACAGCTTTCTTATGGGCAGCCAATAAAGTTTCAGAGATGAAAGCAAATAAAATGAAAGCAAATAAAATGAAAGCAAATAAAATGAGAGAAAATAGAAAGAGCAGACTGATGACTCATAAAACGATGATAAAAAATACAATAATCTATCGGATCAACTGTTTTGATTCACTGATTACCGCTCATTCAGTTTCACATTTGTTTGTAATGCAGGATGGCTAGGATGACATAGGCACAGTATAACGTTTCTGAATATTAGATTTCAAGTATTACAGTTTGGAACGATCATCGGCTTTGGTAATTAGATTATTCAAACATTGACTTGACGGCTGAATCACAGCAAACGTAAATAAGCCCTGGCCTCTCATGATAATATCATATTGGAATGGGAAATCCAGTAATTGCAAATATTTTGAAAGA